GATATGGTATTAAAAAACTGCATACAAGGTAAGCTTGATAAGTTAAGTAAATAAAGTTAATAGGTACAAATTTAATACCACATACCTGTTGCTTAGACAGAGGTTTCTTATGTATTGAATCAAGAATTCAGTGTGGTCGATAAGCTCGTTACTGTGATCTGAGGGAGGCGTAGGTGGCGACCCATAACCAGATTTACTAGAATGACCTAAAATAGATCAAAACAGTGGACTTTTTAGATTAATTTGTATGATTTGTTAATTTAGGTTGCATCCACCCGCCAGAATTCTTATTTTTCAACTTTTTGTTTATTTTTGTATTTTAAATAATTTAATTATTATAGTTTAGCGTTTAGTATAAAATAATTCAGTCTTACAATATAATATTAACTTAAAAATAATTAGAATTTGGAAATTTAATAATTAACCTTTTATTAAAGAGTTATTAAAATTATTTTTTTTTATATATTTAATTGAATTGTTAGGGATTGTTGATTTAATTTTGGAAACACATTAGCTAATAATAATATAAAGTAGGTATAAAAAAATATTCACGAGTTCAATAAAGATGTGCACTTTATGTTATAGACTACAAAGGAGCATACGATTCGATTAATAGAGAAAATTAATAGAATTTCATGGGCTATTTGGGAATACTAGCAAACTTAGTCATAATGATAAAGCATGTACATATGAATCCAAAAGTAGAGTAAGGTTTGGAGGAGAGATATCAGATGAGTTTCCAGTAACAACAGGACTCAGACAGGGAAACGCTCTATCGCCAGCACTGTTTAATATTGCATTAGAATCAGTTACGCGAAAGGTACTAATTTATGCCTTTTATGGAATAAAAATGGAAAACAATAAAGAATTAACCGTAGTAGCTTTTGCTGACGATATAGTCCTTATAGCCGAAACAGAAAATGAACTGAGAAATACAACTAGCATCCTACTAAATGAAGGTAAAGAAATTGGTCTGCAGATAAATGAGTCAAAAACAAAGTACCTATATGATACTTTCGAGACAAAACCACAACACTAATTATCTAAAAGTTGATGAATACAAATTTGAAAGGGTGCAGAGCTTCAAGTACCTAGCGACAGAGATTAATAAAAATTCTAAAAGCCACGAATAAGTGAAAAAACAACTGATGGCAGCAAATCGATGCTACTATAGTCTAATGCCATTATTCAAATCAAGATTACTATCCATGAAGTCTAAAACTACGTTATACAAAGTCATAGTTAAATCAATTGCTCCACATGCACGTAGTAAATGGGCCACGACAAAATCTAGGGGAAAGAGCTTATGATATTTTTTTGGTTTGTTAATGTTTATCGATAGTACTATGTTTGAAAAACAATTCATATAAATTTGGAACTTTTTCGACTATTTTTAAAAAAGTTTTAGAGCATCGTAATTTTAAGTTGAAAAATGTATACATTTTTTGGGTGTTTTTCTCGATTTTTATGGGTAAGGGGTGACTATTTTAAACTTTTGACCTTCAAAAGTACCTTCCGGGTATGATTTCTGATCTATAGAGTTGCTACACGAAGAAATCAGTTCAGCGGTTTACGAGATATCGTGGGTACACATCATTTTAAAAACAATATCTTCTCAGCTCCGCACCGAAGCTAAAATATAATTTAAACAATGATTTCGTAGCAAAATTACACAGATACCATAAACCAACAAAATAGGTTGAATTCTCTAGTAAAGTAAGCAATTGCTTAATACAACATTTTATGAATTTCATGGTTTCAACCATAATAAGTGGCCTGGTAAAGAATAAGAACAAAGAAACGATTGTATGGCATAGGAACTTCAAAATAAATTTATTTAAATAATATTATGTACTTGAAGTACAAGTTAAAGCCTAAAAAATGTATAAACAAGTCTAAGGATATAAAGAGCCGATTTAAGAATGTATTTTTATTTTAATATTGCAACATTTTCTTCTATACTTCATAGGATATAATATTACAAAAGAATAATTTAGTTCACATATGGCGAACGGCTTTTTGTATAGCTAAATAAACATGTTAATGTTGTATATTGTAAACATTTAAACACAGATTTGCATCTGACGTCATTCTTCTTAATTATACCCATGATTTGGTTAAACAAATATTTTTTGTGTAAAATTATATTATTTAAAAGGTTTCCAAATGGAAATAACAAAATTATAAATGGCTATGTTTTTGAGTTGGTACAAACAATAGTTTTTATGGAAAATTTTGCTTAAATAAAAAAAAATGTTCTAATTTAAATGTTATTATTACTATTGAGCAGTCAAAAAAAAACATTAGTCAGCGATAAGTTCAATAATTATGTACATAACCTGTCGCTTATACGTAGGTTGCTGTAATTCAATTATAAAGCAAGAAATTATTTATATATTAATAAAATATACTATTTACCTGGAGTTGCCCATAGAATTATAAACGCTACAAAACAAATCAGCATAGTGTATAATTCGTGTTAATACAACACCAAATGTTGAACAATTTTAAAATAGTATAAAGAAAACCTTGTCAATAGAGATTGAACACCAATTTAAATATGTATTTTTATTACAGTAGCGTACAATATTTTTCTACACTAAATGGGATATGTTGAAAAGTATCATTGTGTTTACATAGGGTGTACGATATTTTGTATATGCGCATAAACATGTTATCGTTGTATGTTGTTTATCATTAAACACAGATTTGAAGCTGACGTCAGTCTTGTTGTTTATACGCATAATTCGTTTTCACAAATATCTTATTTTTAATATGAATCGTACACAGCAGATTATTGTGTAGGAGTAGTCTTTTATTATTTTTAATATATGTTTTATGTTTTATGTATTCAGCATCAATTTAAAAAACATCAATGAGACTCTTAAAAATGTCTAATGTCATCTGCATAAGTCAGCACTCCTATGGACGATCCCTCACATTTTATTTCTTACCGGGTTTTTGATATATTTGTCAATGATTATCTTTCACTTTGATAAATTTAATGTCTTTAATTTTTGTCGATAAATATGTCGTCACTAGTAGACGTTAAGTAACGCATTGTTTTTTTTAGGTACCTATTTTAATTTATCCTATATTTCACAAGTGATAAAGATAGCTTAACGGTAGTTCGTTTTTATAATAAACACATGGTGATGCCTGTGTCTTCTTATTTATTCGTATAAACCATCATGAGTAATTCTAAAGGTTACTACAGTTCTTACAAATTGTAGCACATATAGTTTATTGTTGGTATTTATACTGTGTATAATTTTTAGCGCCTTATTGTTTAGAGGTGTTAAATAACCATCAGTTGGAGGTGAAAATAAGTGAATCATCAGTAACGTCATTTAAAATTCTTCTTGTATATATTTATACTGGACGGATGAAAAAATTGAGCAGAGCATTTTTTTTTGAGACTGAGATTTTAGATATGTTAAGGAGATGAATTTTTTCTAAATTTGATCAAGTATAGTTGGCTTGTATCGTCATCTAAGCCCAAAAAATATCCATGATTCTGCGAGTAGCGGAGATTAAACAAGGTGCGGGACATATAAATTGCAAACCATAATATGTATAACATGCAAACCAGACAGTGGCGACAGATATGTCTATTCATTGCCGTAGGCACTAATAGACCAATATTTTTGGTAGGTTATGGCTTACATCGCTCAATATTAACTAATACTTATTATGCAATTCCAAAAATCAACAGGGCTCAGTAAGGAAAAAATAAGAATGAAATAATTGGCTTATTAAAAGGTCCCTCAATAATAACAATTGTAATTGTATACAATTTTACATCATTTTACACAATGCGAAAATCTTGAAATTTAACTACTTTAATCAAACAAAAGTCAAAACATAAAGAAATATATTAATAAAAGAGAGAAATTATATTTTATAATAATATGTTTAATTCATGGTAAACGTTCAACGACCACAAATATGTTTATAATTGGAAATTAATTTAAACGACTGCATTTGAAGCCGACGTTTCTGTCATCATAATATCTGTTTCGTTGTTCTCCTGAAAATCGAAATTCTGTCTTTATTTCCGTCATAATGATTGTAAAAAAAAAAAAAATAATATTTGAGTATTTGTTACCTCACGATCGTCTACAATGATGTTGGAATCTAACGTTACTTGAGCGGGAGCTTCAAAATATACAATACGGAAATCCTACAACATCAAAGAGATATTAAAAGTTTAATAAAACACATATATCAATGGTACTGACATTGACTGTTGAACTGTAAAGGCCAGTAATACGAATGTAGAGTATCGGTCTGGGTGTAAATGTCAACACCTGCCAAGATTGTTTCAGCTCTTCAGATTCGGTTGCAATCGTTTTCCAATCCTGATTATTGACAGAACCTTCAATAGTGTACTTGTAGAATTGGTCATCGCCGCCCCAAAGCAGCAACCTGTCAATTATGGCGATAATTTAAAAATATAATTATATAATTAATTCAGTAAACTAGGCCAACATAAACTTGTTTTTTTGTGAATAACCGGATAATGAAAAATTCATAATTAAATGATAGGTTAATATAAACATTATAGTACAACTTAAAAAAAAAACAAAGTCAACAAATTCTTGTTAATGATAACCATTTACATTTTACATTGCTAATTAGTTTAACAAAATTGCGGATCAATTTTAAATAAGATAATAACAAGATTATATTTATTTATATAAGTCTCGCTAGAAAAACTGCTATACAAATGGTTGTGTTACTACATCCTAAGAACTAAATTTGGATCAAGGATCTAATCGAAAAGATTAGATCTTTTAATTAAGAGTGATTCTGATAAATAGTATTTTGTACGAATTAGAGTCTTAAACTCTAATAAGAAAATAAGAAAAAAATAGAAGAAACTATATTTTATACACCGTGTATGAATTAGCATTGTACTAGAACGACTGAAAATGATAAACCAAATTGTCAAAAGAAAACTTATTGCTCTAAAATTTACAAGATATTTACACTATTACCTCATTGAACTAAGTATATATGGTTGTGCAAGATGAATCACTATACAACCTCTTCGCATATAATGATATGTATATATGTTCAAATCATGAAAGACTTCTGGATGATAAAATATGTTATTTAACAGCGTATATCTCATTGAATCATTTTCTCCTTTGATTATAAGTGGATCCATATGTCTTGAAGTGACCTTATACCTGTACTTAGGAACTTGTTTGAAATGAATCAATTAGACAAATATATATACATATTTATATACCGAGTTATTTTTTTAACGCCTTACATTAGTTAACTCTTATAAAAATTGCAATTTTGTAGTGTTTCTTTTTGAAAATATTATTGTTTATGCTATTAATGTATGAGACAATATTTAAATTGTTATCTATTTTAGTATTTTCATGAGCTTTATCATCTTTTGAAACGTACACATGATAATGTATACATATTTTTAACTATTAAATTAACAATGATTTGCTGCTAATTTTGACTGGTCGTTAACCAAATTTGAATAAATTGATTTAAAGTTATTAAAGTTTAAAATATAGGACGGAGAGTGAAGAATTGAGTTATTTTTACATTCGCGCATTTCTCAACGGCACTATATCTAACGTCCTAAATTTTAAACTTAAATAATTTTAAAACTATTTATTCAAATCTAGTTAATAACCAGTCAAAATTTGCAACAAATTATTCTTAATTATTAAATCGAATTAAATATATATTTATATTTGCTTTAGCAAATACTAAAAATGATAAACATTTAAATATTGTACTATATAGTTATACAGTATACTTAATCAAATATATTTTTAAAAATGAACACTACGAATTTGCAAATATTTTAAAAGTAAACTAGTATAGAGGAATTTAAAATAATCACCCAGTATATAAATAAAAATGTTCATTATTTTATTCGAAAAATGTGTTAGTTTGAGTTACAATTGAAATTCTTACCGACTAATCCATTTTTTATTTCCACCATGTGCATTTCTTTGGTATTATACATGACTTTCAAAAAATTTAAAGTTGCATTAGCAATACTATTGGTTTCTACAACGCGTATGTACCGAACTATGCGAGGTTTAATCCACAAACGTTGAGTTGATCGACAATTATAATTAGAATGATCTATAACACGTATCCAAACGTTCTGATCCATTGAAACATCAATGTAATAAGAGTAATACCTAAAGTATTAAATAATTCGATTAACTTGTAGTGTAGTGATTCGTAAAAATGTATAGAAAATTAAATATTAGGACCAGAGTTGTGTAAGAAGTTGTTAAATAATGAATATAAGTTATAAACAACATATAAATTTAACATATAAAATTGCCCTACACAAATAAAATCAATCATGTATCATAGTCACGAAGGTTTTGAACAATTATTCAAAAACAATTTTTTTTAAATAATAGCAATTTCAGTTAAAAATATTTATAAGTTTAAACATACCTTGGTTCTTCATTCCTACCTCCACCCGATAACGATATTACAATATAGTTTATAAATGATGGATCACGCAATGTTCTCGTAATACAGCCGTTACCGCCATTGATAACCGAAGTAGTCGAAGGCCTTAGAAAAATGAAGTTATCTGGCCGATGAATAAGATCTACATTGGGTTCTAAAAAAAAAAAAAAATTGAAACCAACATAATTTGCGAGATACAAATTGATGTGCACAGCAAGCATACTTAGCTGGCCTCGATATTGAAGCTTATCTGGTGACGAGGAGTTTCTGAATATTGTGTCATGTAAACTTTTATTCGATTTAACGAACGGTGATTGCCCAACCTCAGCCAGTTCTTCAATACTCATTAACGGATATCTGATCGCAGATAAAACTTTCATTTCAGTATCATGATCCAGGTCGTATTGGTGTTTTTTAATCCAGCGACAAACCGCACGAAATATAAATAATTCCTTAGCAAAAAATGAGTCACGAATGAGAATATCTTGAAGAGTTTCCTAAAAATAATAATTCTTTTTAAACTATTCTCCTAACACGAGTAATATAATGTTTTTATTTAAAACTATGCCATTACGGGTGACAAAGATAGAAAATGTTCAGATTGCAATACACCAAAAGCTTGATTGTCGATAAAATTGAGTGCTTCAACTATGGACTCGTTGTATCTATAAATCCGGGCCATTGTCAAGAATGAACATGCATTTTCTACGTCAATAGCACTTTTTAAATACTCGTGCAGTGGAAGTTTTAAGTTGGAAATACAAAAAAAATCCGAAATCCTAAGTAATTCGAAAACTTCTCCACCCTAAATGATAAACAACAAAAAATGTGATTAATATATCTTCATTAAAATGTTTTCAATTTAACAAATATATAATTAAATAGATCAAGCTCATGCTATCAACCAAACGATCAGACAACCTTAATAAAAATTATTTTTATGCCGTTTAAATTTTAATAATGGTTAAGCTACGTCGATTATTCGTTACCTCTAGATCACTTAAATTTATTCGACCAGTATAAATATATTGAAGAAGTATTTTAAATGTTGTTACTGATGCATCATCACTAAGATTGACCTCAGATTTATAGGATTCTTTATAATTTCCATAAAATAAACCCCTAAAAATAATATACAATATAATTATAAACAACAAATTTTATTGGTATGTTATACATTCTGTAAAGGACAGCCTATTGAAGTCTAATTAAACGGACCGCAAAAATGAGATCATCAATCTAAAATTCACTACAAAATCTCATTTAAAATTATTAAAATATATGAATTTAAAATGATATTATTATTAAGTAGTGATAATAATATTTATAAAAGCATTTTGTAAAACTATGAAAATAGAACCCTTTTTGAATAAAGAGACAGTTGAACTCTACTTGATAAATATACTATTTTTGGGATGATGAAAACATTTTTTGGCCCAAGTATATAAAACAAGTTTTTTTTTAATTTTAAAAACGTCTATCGGTATATTCTATTTGTATTTGAAATAGTATGATGCGGAATGACCCACATACAGGTAAACATAATTAAATTTATACCTGATGCTTAAACACTACAACTACAAAACAAAACTATAATGAAACAAATATTTTTTGACTGTCCAAGGCTAAAGGCCTGAGGAAATATACTTAAAGATGAGAATTAAATACCAAAAATATTTGATGCGTGAGGCTAATACAATACGGTGGGCGGGCAATCGTTCTTCATCTACAACCAAAACAACATCTGAACAACTGAAATATGCATTACAAATACAGATACCATTATAAAATGTTACAATAAATTATGTATAATTTCTGACATATATAATTAAATAACAAATTATTCTTATAATTAATATTTATGTTTTAGTATTATCTGAGTCCCTAGTTAAAAATGGAATATAATAGCAATAAATAATTTTGGATAGAAAGAAGGTACAAAATAGAAAAGGGGAAGTTGCTAAACCTATATTGACAAATCAGTCAATACATTTTTAGATAGTAGCTTTTTTATTTGCATTATTAGCTCATAATGAAAGCATCCAGGCATATCATAATTCGGCACTTTGTATACTGCCTTCTTTAAATAAAATTAGAATTATTACACCAAAATTGGCAAAACGAGAAACACAATTATGGCTTACTTTTATCATTTTATTTCAATTATAACACTTTACATTGTAAACAGAGTAGAATGCATTTTAGGATATGATATTAAAAAACTGCATACAAAGTAAGCTTGCTAAATTATGAAAATTCTAAAGTTAATAGGTACAAATTCAATACCACATACCTGTCGCTTAGATAGAGGTTACTTATTTCGCTGTCCAAGAAGTGGTCATTGATTAGGTAATCGCCATTGGATAGCCTAACATCAGCCTCAGCTTCGTTAATACTCATTAAAGGATATCTGACGGCAGATAAAACTTTCATTTCAGTATCATGATCTAAATCGTTTTGGTGTTTTTTAATCCAACGACAAACCGCACGGAATATATCTAATTCATTAGCAAAAAATGAGTCACGAATGAGAATATCTCGAAGAGCTTCCTAAAAATAATAATTCTTTTTAAACTATTCACCTTACACTTTAACTATACTGTTAATTTTTAAAACAAGGTCATTACGGGTGACAAAGACAGAAAATTTTCAGATTGCAATACACCCAAAGCGTTGTTTTCGATAAAGTCAAGGGACTCGACTTCAAGCTCATTGTATTTATAAATTCGGGTCATAGCCAAAAACGACCATGAATTTTCTACGTTAATAGTACTTTTTAAATACTCGTGCAGTGGAAGTTTTAAGTTTGAAATACCAAAATAATCCGAAATCCTAAGTAATTCAAAAACTTCTTCACCCTAAATGATAAACAACAAAAAATGTGATTAATCTTTCTTCATTAAAATGTTTTTAATTTAACAAATTTGTAACTTAACAGATCTAACACATACTATCATTCAAACGATCACACAACCTTAATAAAAATGATATTTATGCCGTTTATATACGTTAAAGCTACGTCGATTATTCATTACCTCTAGATCACCTAAATTTATTTGACCAGTATAAATATATTTAAGAAGTATTTTAAATGAGGTTATGACTACTGCATCACTAAGATTGACCTCAGATTTATGGGCTTCTTCATAATCTCCAAAAAATGACCTCCTAAAAATAATACACAATATTATTACAAATAACATAATGTTATGTGTTAAATATTCTATAAAACACAGTCTGTTAGTCTAATCAAACGGACTTCAAAAAAGGGATCATATATCTAAAACTTACTAAAAATTCTCGTTAAGAGTCGGTAAAAAAGATAAATTTGAAATGACAATATTATTAAGAAGTATTACTAATATATATACAAGCCTTTTACTATGAAGTAAAACGATAAAAATAGAACCCTTTTCAGATATAATTGTACTGATTGATAATTATACTATGTTTGGACGATAAAAACATTTATTTTGAGTATTTTTTTTTTAATTTTCATAAAAGTCCTTCGACATATGTTTTGTTCCGAAATTTTTAAGACGGCAGCAACGTTTAAAATAAGTAAAAGTATTTAAAAAAACAGGGATCTAATATTAAGTCACAACGAACCAGGAAGTCCAGCTCATTGTCATGAAAATTCCCCGAGGGGCCCGAGGAGGGCCGATAAACAGGTTTTACGTGAAATGCCCCATATACAGGTAAACAAATATTTAATTTATGCTTAACTTTCAGATTTGATGTTTAATAACTTCAGCTACAAATAAAACTAGTAGTTATGTCATAATAAAAGTTAAATACCTACCTAAAATATTCGCTTCGTGAGGCTAGTATAATACGATGGGCGGGCAATCGTTCATTACCTACAACTAAAACAACATCTGAACATCTGAAATATGCAATCAAATTATTTAACAATACACATACTAATATAAAATTAAACCATAAATTATGTATAATGTAACAAATTATTATTACAATTAATGTGTATGTTTTAACCTGATCTAAGTCTGTAGTTTAAAATGGAAAATAAGAGCATTGAATAATTTTGGGTAGGAAGATTATAAAAAATAGAAAGGGGGAGAAGGTAAAACTATCTATATTGACAAATCAGTCAATAAAATTCTAAATAATAGCTTCTTTATAGCTTTTTAAGTTCACAATAAAATGATAGTCATATCATATTTTGGCATTCCGTGTACAACCTACTTTAAATCAAATTAGTTTTATTACACCAAAATTAAAAAAAAAACGGGACACACAATAATTATGGCTTACTTTTACAATATTATTTTATGTATAACACTTTATATTGCTAACAGAGTAGAAAACATTTCGGGCTATGGTATTAAAAAACTGTGTACAAAACTAGCTTGATAAATTGTGAAATTAATAATATAAATAGGTACAAATTCAATACCACATACCTGTCGCTTAGATAGAGGTTTCTTATGTCTTCAAACAAGAATTTAGTGTGGTCGATATTCTCGTTACTGTGATTTGAGGAAGGCGTAGGTGGCGTCCCATAACCAGAATTACCTGAAACAGATCAAAACAGCGGACTTTTTAGATTAATTTGTATGATTTATTATTTCAGGTTGCATCCGCCCGCCAGAAATCTTATTTTTCAACTTTTTGTTTATTTTTTATATTTTAAATAATATAACTATGATTTTTTTTATGTATATACTTGAATTGTTAGGGATTGTTGATTTAATATTTTAGTTAACAATTATTTTAAATAGATATTAAAAAATATTCAATTGTTTATCTAGTAAATTGATAGCTCATTGTGACGTACATAATAATACAAAAAAAAGTCCATCTGTATATGTTGAGAAATTTTAAATTCTTTATATGATTTGATTTAACAAATATTTTTTTGTTATAAATCGAATACTATAGATTAGTATTATATTATTGAAGATTAACGAAAATAGCCCGCTGAGTTTTATCGGTAAATCACAATTTTTAAACTTATGTATCTATTCTAAACTAGTGTAATAATAAAATTTATAACTTACCTTGAGTTGAGCATAGAATTATAAATGCTAAAAAATAAATCAGCATAGTGTATAATACAATATTAAATGTTGAACGCTTGAAAAAAACCGTATAAAGAAAACCTTGTCAATAGAGATTGAACACCAATTTTAATAGTTATGAAGTTTTATTACAACAGCGTACAATCTTTTTCTACACATAATAGGATTGTGCTATGCACGTTTCACTGGGTTTACTTAGGCTGTACGATGTTTTGCATAAACATGTTATTATTGTATGTTGTTTATCATTAAACACAGCTTCGATGCTATTGGTTTTACAATATGTGAGCTAGTTTTGTGTCTGTATGCACCGTATTCTTTTTAATACTGGACCAATTCCATCGAATAGTAACTCTATGAATCTAGTTGGTACTCATGGAGGGGGGGGGGGTAAAAGTTGAAAAAATCCACTTCTCGACCCTTAAAATTTGGAAATAAATGCCAGTACAGCGGGGCCAGGTTATAGTGGGGATAGGGAGGTTACAGGTTTCAAGGAATTATTACAACTGGATGTAATAAAATCACTTTCAAACAAACGCTTTCATGCGAATCAGTAGTTAGTATTTTCATACCGGTAAAGTCCAAACCAAGAACAGTATGAAAGTATTAAAGTGAGGTGTTGTGTTACAGATTATCATCAAAGCGTTTATTTTAAAGTAATATTATCCGAGCAAGCCAGTACATTGGTGTCGAGGCATTATGGGATCAGAGTATAGTGCGACGAAGAAGTCACAGGTCTACAGGAATTATTTATAATTTGAATATTTATTTATAAGGTTATAAAAGGTTAAAAATTAGAATGGGAGGGGAAGTTTAGTTGGGAAGTGCGTGCGTATAAAAATAATACTATACTCCACTATTCTTCCTGCCCTATACTTCAGTAAATTCATAAATAGTTATCTGAAACTGGATATCGACTAGTTAACATTTTTATTAAAAAAAACGTACACCAATTGTGTACACAATTTTTCATTTATAAACTTTATCATGTATGGAAAAACATTGTACGCTACCATAATAAAACTACATGTTTATATTAGTTTTCAGCCTCTTATGACCTGATTTTCTTTACTATGTTTTAAGTGTCCAACATTTAGTAATATATTACACATAATTTAACACGATGATAATATATTTTTTAGCCTTTGTTATTTTATGGTCAACTCCAGGTAAATAATATTCGTTATTAATACATAAATAATTTTTTTATTAACTTCTCTGCATAATTATGAAACTTAACGCTCTCTAAGGTATTTTGCTATTTGCTCACTGGTAATAACAATAAGACTAATCATTTTGAAATTTTCATTTGGCAATATTGTTATTGATTACATTGATATTGTCAACCTTAGCATCACAAATAAGTGAAAATTAGAATATAATAGAAACTCTACCATTCAATAACTTCTTCCCTAAATACATAGTGAATAGTCAACTGAAGTGGCTCTAAACCGAAATTTATTTTTTTCATAATTTTAATGTAATTTTTGTGTTTAGCAAAAAATATGTATAATGGTATTTTTAATTATCACATTTTTTTTTTTTGCAATTATTTAATAAGGTCTTCTTTATTTAAATAAACTAACGCAAATGTTTTATAGTTTTTATACACTATACCTACAATTTACTACACTTGTTTTTAGAGTAATCCATTTAAGACACTAACAAACTTCAACAATGTGTTATTATTTTCGGAAAAAAATAATTTCTTATGTCTTTTGGATTGCCTTCTGTACTACATTGTTATTAATTGAATAGTAACCAATTGAAATAATACATAATTTTAAAAAAAAATGTTAACATTGGTTGTATTTAAAATATTTCTTATACTATAGGTTTAAACAATTTTAAATAGGTTGTTAATGTTAACTGAAAAAATAAATCATATCACTTTAATTATAAATAAGCTGTTTTTTTTTTAATTTTAACTAGCATGTTCTGACCCTGTCGATTGTACTTCGTCTTCGTTTATGGCCAAACAGAACAGTATCGACGAAATCAATCACACTTGCTTCTTGCTCAGTGACATAAGTAATCTGTATCTAAACGACAGGTATGTGATAGTAAATTTGTACTTATTTTTACAAATAAAAATCCATGTTTGTTCCAGTTTTAATTATTATCATAATGATTATGTTATTTATAGTATTTATAAAAATAAAAACAATTTTATAATCAAAATATGAATTAAAAACTTAAGTTGTATTTTTCAGAAGCTCTGAAAAGTATGAGCTAGTGCCACAGGCATAATACTATTGGCAGGCAAATATTTAATAATTAATTACACCTGACAACTATGAAATAGATATAATAATAAAAATATATACCTAACTGATATACTTGGGTCATTCCATGCCAAATCACCTGATGTCTGAAGGCTATATTCAGTAAACTTATTGTAATAACGCCTTAAGTTCCCGACCATGTTACTTAACGACTAATTGTGATATCGAAATGGAATTTCCCCGGAACAAGTGTTATCTAAGTGTTCTTTTTCACGGTATCATTAAAAAAAAAAATCAAATTTTTAAGTAGCTAAAAATTGAAAAACAAATTCCAAATTTTATACATTTCATTAAATTTTTATGCCGAATCAATTTTCTTATACTGACACATCTAACTACACTCTTTTGATTCGTATATACTTTTTTTTTATGATTTATAAGTAACTTCAAAGTTTGGTATTTTACTAAAAAGTGCAATAATTAAGAGTCTATAACTTTTTAGGGCTTGAACTATAAGTTCTGAAATTTGTACAAAACTTTTACCAGATGTTCTGTATACATAAAGGTAAGTGCTGTTCAATCAGGTGATTTAGCATGGATTGACCCTATTATAATAAATTTTGAAGAAAAGTCGTTGGCAATTCATCTTGATGAGCATGTCGTTTTATTACTACATACAAAAATGAATCACAATAATTATTGATAATTCGTATCTGTAAAATAATACATTTCAATGTTTATTTCAGTTTTTCAGATATTGTTTTGGTGGTCGGTGAAGAACGATTGCACGCCCACCGTGTTATTTTAGCCTCACGCAGTAGTTATTTTAGGTATTAATTATTGTTACTTCCTGTTTAGATTGATAATAAACATTTATGTTAATAAATAAGTACTTATCGATAGCTATAATAAGTAATAATTATTTTTTTCCACAGTTCGGTCACAAACCAAAACACATAACTTATACCGGCAAAAATTGTAGTCTTAAATTTATTTAATTTAATATCTTAAAGAATATTGCAATAACAAGATATTCACTAAAATAAAACCTATAAATAGAAACGTATAATATTTTTAGAGCCTCTATTGACATTTTTTTTCCATGTTTATTTGTTTTTATAAAAATTGAGTTATAGTAGGTATTTTAACTTATATCTGTTAACATATCTATTGGAAACGTGTATTTTTTTAAGTATTATTTAACTTACCGAGCCAACCCAGTGTTAATAGTAAGTTTTGGACCGAAAACATATCGTTTGTGTAGTCTGTGAAGTTAGACTTCAATACACTAGGTTTTACAGATAATTTGGTTGTTTTTCACTAATACCGTATACAATTTTTAGAGTCTTATTGTATGGAGATTTTTATGAATCTGATAAGGCTGAGGTGGACGTTAGTGATGTATCAATGGCCTCATTTAAAATACTTCTTAAATACATTTATACCGGTCGGATGAATTTAAGTGTTCTAAAGGTGACGTATAATCGCTGTACCTTAACGTTATTCAAACTGCATAAACACTTTTTTAAAGCCTGAGCGATCGTTGGGTCGATCGGTTGTGTTTGTTATTGTTTAATTGGAAAGACAATTTTATAAAAAAAAACTATTAATCAAATATGTAATTTTTTTATTTTTTAGAATAACACTATTTTGGAATTATTTAGTATTTCGGATTTTTATGGTTTTCCAAACTTACAACAAATACTGTCCGAATATTTACACAGGAACATTAATGTACACAATGCATGTTCGTTGTTTGTTGGTGCATGTCTTTATCAATACAATAAGCTCAAAGACGAATCACTTGACTTTATCGAAAACCACGCTTTGGAAGTATTGCAATCTGAAGACTTTCTATCTTTGACATCAGTAATGACTTTGTTTTATGTGATCAATTTTTATTGTGCTTGTGTTAGGAGAAAATTAAAAAAACAATTTATATTTTTAGGAAGCTCTTCAAGATATTCTCATTCGTGACTCATTTTATGCTAATGAGTTAGACATATTTCGTGCGGTTTGTCGCTGGATCAAAAAACACCAAAACGACCTGGATCATGATACTGAAATGAAAGCTTTATCTGCCATCAGATATCCGTTAATGAGTACTAAAGAACTGGCTGAGATTAGGCAATCACCGCTGGTTAAATCGAATAAAAGTTTAGATGACATAATATTTAGAAAAGCCTGGTCACCAGATAAGCTTCAATATCGAGGACAGCTAAGTATGTCTGCTGTGCACATCAATTTGTATTTCACAAATAATTTTGGTTTCGATTATTTCTTTTTTTTTTTTAGAGCGCAATGTGAATCTTTTTTATCATTATCGAACTGTTCTGATTCCCAACGACATTGACGGCAGTTCCACGATAATATTGGGTCATCCATCAATCATAAGCTATATTAGCATGATGCTATATGATAAGGATTTAGGGTAATTTGTTCAATCATAAAGTATAGGTATTATTCAATAGAACAGTTCTATCAGGAATAATTTATACAACGAAATAATTGTTAGTAAAAAACAATTTTTACTTAAACTTGCATCCTTTATTGGACATTTTTTCGCACAATTCTCATCCTAACATTTAATTTCTTTTACTAATTTTTTTTTTTATAAATTACTACTTTACGAGTTATTCGAATTGTTTGATAATTTAGGGATTACGGTTATTCCATTGAAGTTTCAATGGATGGTCACGAATGGGTGCGTGTTTTAGATTATTCAGATTATATTTGTCGTTCAATTCAACGTTTGTGGATTCATCCACGCCCAGTGATGTATATTCGAATTGTCGGCATCAAAACTAATTGGAGAATTCTTGAAATCTCTTACAAAGCAGCAGAAATGTACGGGGTGGTAATAGAAAATGGATTAGTGGGTAAGAAAAAAACAAAAAAAAAACAAAATTAACTCTTAATAATAAAAACTTATTATTATTATCATTGTAATAATTAATATTTATCTAATTGACCGGTTTTTTATCGATTAGCGCCAAAGTCCAATGTCGCTTTATGGTCTATGAATGCTACTGTAATCAAAGGTCAAAATTTTTTTAATTCACTATTAGTTGGCTGCTATGAAGACTACGCTAGGTATGACAGATACGTATGGCATTGGCTGGGATCGGGCTGCATACTGGTTCAACTCGCACAACCTTATATGCTTAGTTCAATGAGGTAATATTTTAAAGGACTTGTCCTTTATGGCTATTTCGTTTTATATCGTCAAATATTGCAGCGTCTTAAGTTAAGTTTCTTAAGATACCATTAATATTTGACTACTATTGTGTACGCGTTAAGCTGCAGAAAACAACTTATTTAATGTTCACTAAAATCATTCGTTATTGACTAAATTAATGTAACTCACTATCATATCAGAAACATTTGTTTGAATTTACAGGTTGCTGCTTTGGGGCGGCGATGACCAATTCTACAAGTACACTATCGAAGGTTCTGTCAATAATCGAGATTGGAAAAAGATTGTAGACAAAACTAAAGAGCTCACTCATTCTTGGCAGGTGTTGAAATTTAAACCCAGGCCGATAGTGTTCATTCGTATCACCGGCGCTTACAATTCAGCAGGCGATGTGAGTAAAATTAAGCTAAGAGTGTCTTTTTCACTTTTAATGACTCTATTATGCTGTAGGATTTTCGTTGTGTATTTTTGGAGGCTCCTGCTCAAGTACCATTGCATTCCAACGTCGTTGAAGACGATCGCGTGGTGACAAATTACAGGGTAGGTACATCAAATTCGGTCCATACTATTGTTAGTTTACTATAATATTTTTTTTCACCAGCATGATGTCGAAAATCAAATGAAAATGTTTGTTTTCAGGGGAACGAAACACATTCAGCGGCTCAAACTCCAGTTGTTTAACCATATTCGAAACATAAGCATAGTTTTGGTTCCTTTTGCGATTACCAAAATTAGCAGATATAAATTTTATTGTATATTTTACTGTTATACTACTTGTATTCACTTCAACTGTAGAGTTTTTGAAATCTGTTAATTGTGTTTATTGTTGTTTTGTCTTTGTCAAGCTTACTTATTAAAAGGTAGGTAACAAAAGTTACGAAGAAATATATAAAGAACTATAAAATCAAGGTCTTTTTAAAAGGAGTTTTTTATAGTCAATGATGAAGAAAAAAAAGAGGATTTTAATAATGTTCGACCATGTTAATTAGTTTACCGGTTAATAAAGACATTTATGGTTTACTATAGTCAAAAAAGCCAGACAAAATTTTATCTCCTCAGGATGGTCAAATTTAAATTTTGTAAAGAGATTTGAGTTCTTTGGCTTATTTACTATGTAATGTAGAAAGCTGATTTTCATTAAAAACAAAAAATTCTTGTAACTAAATTTATTAATTATTTTATATAAAAACCAAATTGTTTTACATAAACAAATCAAAATTCAATAATCTGTTTCTTACCAAACCTGGTAAAGGTACTAGAGAACTCTAGTAGAAATGTATACTTCTTCCTTCGTTTTGTTGGTAAACAATCATTAAAAATATTCAATTAATTTGATAAGGATATTACTAAAGCCAAGTTGAAGGAGGTAATAAATTTACTGCTCACTTTATATTTCAAAAAACAATTTTATCGTGGATTGTGGAACGACATACATTTTTTTACTTACTTGCAGTCATCAGACGAAAGCATCAGTGAATATATAGCGGATTTTAAAAATAAGGGGGGGTTATTTAAATGGAAGATAGTTTGTATAATAAAATTTAATAGACTTTCATAAATAATTAATTAAAAAGCCAGTGCAGTGTGTACGGGGTGTAGTGAGGACGGGTAGGAGTTATTTAACATAAAATATGTTACTGTCTATAACCCTTTATTTCTTAACCATTGATATTTAAAAAGAAATCTATGATATCTCTGATATAACTGACATTACTTTTATTTGTTATAATATGCGTGATACTATTAGAAATTGTTATTTGACGGTCATACATTATGAATATCTTTAATTTTGAGTTATCTTTGGTGTTTCGTACTCAAAATTGTTGCAAATACCATCATTAGACTTTACTGGAACACTATTAGGTTTGATTTGATCAAAATGAGTTAAATATTTTATGTAAAATACAATAATTACCGGCTTTGTAGTGAACCGTTTGGCTAATAAAAACTAGAAATGTATCCAAGACAACTATTGACTGTAGTATGTAACTGTATCAAAATGTTTATTTTGGTATCGTGATCGTTCATGTTAAAACATTATTCTAATTGATAGTTATTGTAAATCGATATTTAAAGTATTCGTATTCTTTTTCTACATTTATCAAAATGGCTGAAGACGAAAAATTCTCTTGCTCTACCGTCGAAACCGTCACGGGCAACCCAATTTACAGGTAATTTAAAGTTTATTAAATGTTTTTCTTTAATTGTATCCCGTACTATTGATTAAATTTAGTATATTTAACCTATGCCGGTACTAATAGGGTCGGCCAGACTGATCCTTTGTCTCTTATAGACCCAATAATGGTTGCCTTTCGATTTTCCTTTTGGCACTTCTTATGTTGTAGGATTATCTGTAACAAGGACAACAAAATATTATGCTATTTAAATTACCTAAACGGTAATCCTATGGTTGATAGTCGAGTACTTTAGGTTTCCAAACACGATAAGTCCAATTTGGTAAACTCATTTTGAAATCAATGTAACATGGAAATCTTCCGTATTATACATATGTTTCCTTTAAAAGTTGAGAATTCTGTCATATTGTTTGTTTTACTAGATTTGTATAGCGTGTTAGTGAATCAAGCGACGAAAAAATATATTTTATTCTGATTGCATTTAATCTGGAATAAATAAACAGAACATCTTATGAATATAAATGTAGAAATATGTTAGAGACAAAATATAAGCTCGATAATAAGCGTATGATGATTTTTAATTGCAGCGTGACTGTAATTAAAAGGGAACCTGATGAAACTGAAAATGATAATTATTCTAAATCTGAAGTAGAATATGAAGAAAATCAAGATTTGGCATTTATAATGGACTATGATGTGGATGTTTTTGCTAGTGGGTAAGTCCACTTATCATCATCATTTTCATAGTTAGATAAATAACTTTATTTTTTTATTATTTTTAATCTTTCGTATATGCATTATTAATAATCTGGCAAATTATAGAATCTGAAAAAATTTAAATCAATAGCCACTTAATAAATTATGTTAACATATGTTATTATTTTACTGTAAGAAATATTAACTGCCCGGCCGTAGTTAAAACAGAAGCCGAAGAAGTCAATAAGGATTATTATTTCAAATATGATATAGAAATCGAAGAAAATGAAGGTTCACATGTGAACTCAATTTATACTAGGTAAGTTGAACTGTTTGGACCGACATTTTTTCTATTTAACACCTATTAAATAACAAAAAAAAAGTATTTAATGTACACAGAAATGTAAAGTTAAAAATATAGTACTTTTCAAGTTTTTAAAATTGTAAAATTAAAAGTGACAAGTTACAAAGATCTTTTGTTTTCCATTTAATACAAATAGATAAATACACATATCAATTATTTATAGGTTTATTAATTCATTTATTAAAGTTATATAAAATTCACTACCAAAATAAATCATAAAATATGTTGTTTTAGCGATACAATCAGTAAAGTTAGATACGACCGAAGTTGTACTGAAGAAGAGCCATTCATATCCACACAGGAAGAGCTGATAATGTATAAAGAGAAGCTAACTCAACCAACCTTATGCTTAAGCACATTCACACAATCTAAAAAACATGAACAGCCTTTTCAGTGTTTAGTGTGTTTGAAGGAATTTTCAACATCTAGTGTTCTCACAAAGCACAAAAGGACTCACTCGGGGAGAAACCTTTCCAATGCGAGTTATGCATGAAGACATTTTCACATGCTGATAGTCTTACAAAGCACAAAAGGACTCACTCGGGGGAGAAACCTTTCCAATGCGAGTTATGCATGAAGACATTTTCACATGCTGATAGTCTTACAAAGCACAAAAGGACTCACTCGGGGGAGAAACCTTTCCAATGCGAATTATGCACGAAGACATTTTCACAAGCTGGTAGTCTCAAAACACATAAAAGGACTCACACGGGCGAGAAGCCTTTTCAGTGTTTAGAGTGTTTGAAGGAATTTTCAACATCTAGTATTCTCACAAAGCACAAAAGAACTCACTCGGGGGAGAAACCTTTCCAATGCGAATTATGCATGAAGACATTTTCACAAGCTGATAGTCTCTCAAAGCACAAAAGGACTCACTCGGGGGAGAAACCTTTCCAATGCGAATTATGCATGAAGACATTTTCACAAGCTGGTAGTCTCAAAACCCATAAAAGGACTCACTCGGGGGAGAAACCTTTCCAATGCGAATTATGCATGAAGACATTTTCAACATCTGCTTCTCTCAAAAGGCACAATAAGACTCACTCGGGGGAGAAACCTTTCCAATGCGAATTATGCATGAAGACATTTTCACAAGCTGGTAGTCTCAAAAGGCACAATAGGACTCATATCGGCGATAAGCTTTTTTAGTAATTAGTGTGTTTAAAGGCATTTTCAACATCTAGTATTCTCATAAAGCACAATATGATACACGTGGAGCGAGAAATTTAAGAGTAATACAAAAATATTGTTCTAAACATAGTTTAAATAAATTAATATTTTTTATTATATTAATTACCTATATCACTGCAAGTTGATGTTAAACGTTCAAAATATGATCAGTGTTTAGGAACCTTTGCAGGAATCAAGTTTAAAATGTATAAAATGCTGTGTTTTATTGAATTAAAATAAAATGTTTATGTGAATTATCAAGTGTATCTGGCAGTTAGACGAATATCCTACGAGTTCAATTCGCTTGACGAAAATAAAATCGGTGTTATAAGCAAAGCGGAAATAATAAAAATTATAGAAAAACTCTGTTTAGAAGTTTTAGACATAATTAAAACTGCACTTGATCGCGAAGGTAATATAGCTGTAAATTATACAAACCGTGTTAAATTAAACGGGTTTTAATGTTAAATATAATATTTCAGTAATGTATACCTAAGAGACTGGGGTTAATTTTAAAAGAACTTAAATTAGGATTTAGTAGAGTTGAGTTTCAGTCATGATTACCATCGAGTATGTAGAGTAAAATAATACTCATAAAATTTGCTGTTTTTATTTATTTTCGTATAACGCACTTTTTTTATATTTAAAATAAGAATAAAAAGTAAATCAGAACTGTACACTAAAAAATTTGTTTTTCTTTAGTAAATAAATGTCCTGAGATTAGGGTAGTGTAAATGGTTACTAAATCCCGTTTAAACAATTGGAGATATTAATTGTAAATTGGGTCTCAAGATTATTTTTAACATAGAGATTGGATAAAACGGATAGGCTACTCCTATACTAATAACACGAGGTTGCTGTCCGAAATGGGGAAGAAAGAAAGTCACTTGATAATACGAGATGTTGTCAATCATAGATTATAGTAGTAGCTATCATGAAAATAATTTTTAACCCGTAATGATATTTTTTAATTACCAATTTCAGGGATAAAAAATACTGTTAAAATTTGAAAACAACAATATGCATAATGCTATAAAAAGAAATAGTAGTGTATCGGCTTCTATCGAACAGAAAATAATTTTTTTTTCTTTTCATATTTTCGTACTCCAAACAATTGTACAAATAAGAACATTTACAACAACAAAACCAGCAGATAACACAAAAACAATTTTTCGTTTAACAGTAAATGAATATATTTTCAATTCCAACCTACGCTACACTAAAATATCTGTTAATAATTTTACTTCATCTTGCAAACTAAAAAAAATGTACAAAAACACTGACTGAATATACAGTTTCGTTAATAAAAACCAAAATCCAAAATAACATATCTAAACAAATATAATTGCATTGTAAAAAAATATGTTAATTAAAAAATAGAAGAATATATCATACTTTTTTTCCTATCAGTCCCATAATTAAACAAAAAAGATTTACTGTTAAGAAGTAAACAGTAAAACCTATTAAATAGTAATATGTATATAATATATCTATATTATATTTTTTTATATTCATTTAAAACCATTTGAAAATATTATACGGTTTTATTGGAAGCACGTTTTAAGTCTTGTTTTTTATTGCAATAAGGTGAAAACATATTTTGATGTGATGTTTTGTACGCTTGTTCAAACAGTTACCTGTTTGTCATACAACAATGGCCTGAATAAGATTAGTGTCTAAAAACGAAAACAATATCGCTAACATCGACCTATGGTTTGATTTTTACTGTTCAGGTTGATACATTGACTCAACGACTAGTCCCGAGAAAATCACTACAACACAAAAATTAAAACAAGCTTAATTCTATAGAATTCATATTTTTCTTATAAGTTGTACTATTTTAATTATTTAATTGCTATTATCCAACACCATGCAATTCTACTACTTTTTAATGGCCCTTGCCTTTGTAAACGTTCCGTCAACAACGACAGGTAATTATTTTATTTTTACACATACCCGCCTTCTCGAGGTGGTTAAAAATCTACATAGAAAATTCAATATTTAATTTTTCCTTACAGCGGACTACGCAAAGACGGTTTTCATGACAAGTAAGTATCAATTTTTTATACAACATAAATATACTGGGCGTTCAAAAAGTTCAAAAACGGTCAATTTTTCGAGCCGTTATTTTTTTTCTTCAAATTTTGGCTTTTGGATGTTGGTAGGTGTTATTTCATGCACATTTAAGGCTAAATCCAAAATCTTACCTTAAGTAGTTTGCGCATGCGTGATATCAACTTTTAAAATTTAAATGGGAACCCCCAAATTTTTTTAGACATTCTGTTAGATTACATTTCCTATCAGCTCTGATATTATGCGGCATTGAATATTATTATTATTCAACTTGTAGTTTAATTTTCTTATTTATACACTAATTTAAAATATTAATAAACTTAAATTTAAATTTTATTTGTTATGCACTACTATAAAATATATTTGCCTTTTTAATATTTTGTGAGCGTTATTATTTTATTTTATTGGGATTATACTAATCACGATTAATTTCTGAAACTAAAACATTTATTCTATAATAAGTTTATTTTTAAACGTTTCGAAAACAATTTTTGTTTAATTAAGTAGAATTATGTTTAAAAAAATAACATAAATTAAATAAAAACGGAGTTTAAAAGTTGTATAATAAACAAATTATAATAATATTATAAGATTTTGATTATTGAGATATTTAAATTTAAATTGTATTTATGGTATGCGTATGCATTACTATAAATATTTGCCTATTTAATATTTTGTGAGCGTACTTAATAATGCAAATCGTTTTATTTCTAAAACTAAAACATTTTATATTATTAATATTTTATTTAATAAATTATTAATTAAATATTTAATGATTAGTTAATTTTTAAAACTAATTTTGTTTAATTAAGTAGTAGTATGTTTCAATAAATAAAATAAAAACGGAATTTAAAAGTTGTATAAATAAATAATTTATAATGATGTAATAAGATTTAATAACTATAATTATATTTGCTAGTTATAATGATTGCTAATTATAATATTTGTCAATTGAGAAAATTGTTGAACACCCATCCCTGAATTACCTTGGCGGCAGCGAGATCTTTGAGTACTAACGGTTTGATAGTTGTCCGACCCCACCCTCCTCAACTTGCATTGCACGTTCCCCACAAGTAAATGTGCCGTCATCACACAGATCCCCGAAGAAAACGCACAAATTTAACCGAGCTTGGATGAGATTCGTGCTTGACACCTTGTATGAATTTATGGTTAGTGCCTAACCAAACGCGCCAATACCCAAGATGACGTCATTAAGCGGTATTGACGCTTTTAAGTCGATTCGTATCTTGTTATCATCGAAAAAGACTAGATTATTTCTTATTTAACATAACATATTTGATTTTTTTCATCTGATTGAAGAATATTTACTGAAGTGCAGTACCTATCTATTTTGTTTTTATTTAATACTGTGGTGTAGTTACGATACACTATTTTATATGTTATAATTTACATATTAAAAGCGTTTTATTAAAATACTTTCTATTAGGAAAAATGTTAACAATGTCATTTAATACCGAACCACTGGTATGACTAAGAAGCTAAAACAATGTAAAATATGATGTTTTTGGTAAAATATATTCTTAATAATACTTCCTTTAGAAGTACAAAGGGTCTTTTAAACATACATTTGTCTGTACATTATTTTTTTTTTAATAGAAAATGGTATTTTTTAATCATTTATTTTTAAAACTTTTTACGGCAACTTAACTAGCCGTCTTACTTGTTAATGGCTTAGAAGATCTACCAATATTACTTTTATTTTATAACAATTTTTAACATTTTAATTTCTGCAAAAATGTATTGTGTATATATTTTAAATTAAATATATATTTTACCTATTATGCTAATCATATTGAATTTTTAAAATAATAACCTGTAGATATATATATTAAGTAATATTTTTTTTAGAATTTAAAGGAATGTATAGTAATATTGTAGGTGTCCAGTTACAAATAAAATATGAACGCAATAAATGTATTTTATGAAATTCATTAGAACAATAGTATAATTGTATTTAAATTAAAATTTTATATGTATTATGTATATTAAAATCTGAATGGTATCTTTTTTGTAAATTTAAGACTTCCCCATTTCTTTGATTTACAAATAAAATATTAATTCAGTATACTGCTAAATAATTTATAAACACTAACCAATTATTGGTTTTATTTTTTACAACTAAAAAAAGTTATCATAAGCTAAGCCATCATAACATATTGTATACTTTATTAGCTAATAATGAGGTGGACTCGGCTACCTTTTTTTCTTTATATATTATAAGATATACAG